CAGGGCACTATTTTTGCCCTGGACGCAGGGAGCTGCTCAAGCACTATTTTTGTAGAACGCACTGGACCGGACTGCAAGCACTAATGTGCCTGCGTTCCCGGGCGATCACACTGCAGGCAGGGGGCTTGGCTGCTGTGCCATTGACTTCAATGCACAACCATGCCCCCTCTTGACCCTGAATGCAGAGAGCCGGCTGGCTTGCGTTCCAGAGGCCGAAGGCACTGGAAAGTGGAGTTTGTGGTGTGAACAGGCCCTAAACCAACTTATTAAGTCAATGGAAAGTGGAGAAAACATCAAGAAAAAGGCAGCTGTGGCTAAATTGTTAACACAAGTTCTTAATAAACCACAATATGCTTTGAGTAGTAATACTAAGACAGTTACAAGTACAGTCATCCCAAAATGACTGAAAAAAGAAAGCTCAAGAACAATTACGTACCTCGTCGTGGTGGGTCATGTTGTGCTGTGACAGAAAGGCTTGGAGCTTTGCTTTTGTCACTCAGATTAGTGGGTGGCGGAGTGCAATCCTTCAAAGAACCTTCACTGTAGTTTTCTTCACTAGCACGGTCAAACTTCTGCCAGCGTTTTTTGGGCGCGAGACAATTATCATCTGGCTCAACCGAACCCGAGTTCACTCTGTTAAGTCTTGAATCTGCTTCAGTATCCTTGCCACAAGGAATCATTTCAGTTGTGCCGCTTTGGCAGGTTTGTGCATCATTTTGAGAATTTGACTGTGCAAAAGAATTACTTGATACAGTTTCCATATTTTCTTTTATTAGTGTGTCATTCTGAGACGATGCATTACTGTTGGGAGAAGTGCCCAGCTTTGCCCCATCAGGACTCCTTCCTACCAAAGGTTGGTCCACGCATTCTGAAGACATACTCTCTTTCCGAGAAGCAGTTTTGTCATTTGTATTCACATCTTCTGTTGTCCTAGCTCGTCTCTTCTGCAGAATGCAGGGCTTTGTAAATCTTTTGTTTGGACGAGGTACTGTAGTAATATTTACCAACCCATCCAATTTGCTTGTCGAGCTACAGGGGTTTTGTGCACCAGACTGAGCAAAAGAACTATCCTTTGCATCAGCACTGGCATTTTCAAGCTCTTGCTTCAGTCCACCCTCTACTGCTGGCTTGTGTACCTTATCTGAGCCACTTTCAGAAGAACATTGTGTAGGGCTACACACCGAAGAGGTGTTTTTTCCAGTCATGAGCTTTCTTTCCTTCGCTTTGGTATCATGAAGATCTTTAAGCTTCATCAGCAGGTTGCTGTATTTATAGTCAGGCTCCATAGGAATTCTACTTTGATCAGGAGCAGACGGGAAGAGCAAGGGCGTTGAAGGTTTTGAGGTTGTGTTTTCAGCATGATCACTGCTTATCCTACTGGGCTGCTCCTTCTCTAAAGGATCACTAGACCTTTCATTCAATTCATAGGACATTTCTGTGCGCCCAGGCCTAATAGGCGATTTAGGAGAATTTTTGGAGTCCTTACTGCAATGTTCATGCAAGTTTTCACCTGCTGTGCAGGACTGGCTTGCAACATTTAGAGGCCTAGTCAAATTATTCAGAGAATGGCGACCTTTGCCGATTGTATGATTTGCCAATATTGGTTTTTGGGATTCCCCAGGAGACTCTGGTGCAGCCAATTTATTTGGCGACATCTCTTTGCTGCAGTCTGAATAGTCTTTGGATCTGGAAGGTTTCTTATTAGCACTTATAAGGCTGGATAATGAACAATCTCTAACGCGTTTCTTGTTTTTTATATTTCCTGCAGAAATCTCCACTTCTGAGCCAGCACTTTGTATTGGAAATTGATTAAGGGTGTCTAGTTCATTTTTAAGTATATCTGTTGTTGAAGACACAGCTGGTTTATTTAAAGACTTGGCAGATTCAGCATGATCACTCTGAAACTGCTTGTCCATTAAACATTTGTCTTGCTCCAGTAGTCCAGTACTGTTGCTTCTTTCTCTAAGGCTATGAGGATCATTAAATACTTGTTTGAGATCACTACTTTCTCTCTGAGATGGTGGCATTTTAATCTTTTCATCACTGGTCTCATTAGACCAAGAATCAGGAGAGACAGCTTGCTTAGAGGCAACATAGTCTTCCCCTAAGTGTTTGGTCTTAGGAGAGTTCTTATTTAAAGGCTTTCGGCTTATACCATGTTTTTTCTTTACAGAATCAGTGTTAGTGCAAGGAGAAGGGACACTGTTGGGCAGGTGAGATTTTACAAAACCATTCAATACACCGATTGTTCCAGTGAAATTCTTTCCACCATAATGTGGCTGTTGGTCTGTTGGACTTGCAAACTGTACAACATCCCCATACTCTGTCTTGGCAAGGAAATCCTGGGCATGAGCAATACTTGACTGCCACAGTGGAAGAAGTTTTGATGGAATCTGGAAAAATTCGGAAAAAATTCAGGCTTAAAGACATTTTTTCAAAAGAAATGAATGAGATACCACCCACAATGTACGTAAATGAACACCCACCCAAACAAGGTAAGCAAACAAAGACCATCTCTTCCTGGTGGAAATAGATCCCAGGAATGCAATATAGGAGTACTCCGCTTAACTCATTAGCAATGATGCCACTTTCTCTTTAGGGTGAGAAAGCCCAGGACTGTTTCAACTAGTCTGTTCATAGTTCTTGCAGTGGGCAGGCCCTGCTGCAAACATCAAGGCATCGACTAGCGCAACACAGGTAGCAAAAGTGGAAGATCCAGTCAGAAAAATGGCAAAAAGTGTTTATTTAGGAGTATTTATCAGAAAGAAAACCCCTACAGATGCATTAAAAAAACAAAACAATGCAAGCATAACGAACCTTCGGTTTGCTACAACCTTCCTTTGGAGACGGTTTTGAATCGGGTAATTCTTCAAACTGATAAACACCTTTGAATGGAACAACTGCTTTTGCGGTCACCCAAATCTTCTCCGTTAGTTCCCCCAAGGTTTCCACATAATATCGTCGTGGTGACTTTGTAGTAGATGCACCTATGAGATATAAAATTGTAATCATATATGTTAGCATACCTGTTTAATGGGAATATCAGAGGGCTTATGTACACAGATAGACTGTAAAGTGAGTTAAATGCAATATGTTTTTGATTGATTACGTTTTGTGAAACAAAACGGGATAATTATGTTAGCAGAGGCACCCGTGGAAAGGTAGAGTAAGTGGTCAAAAGGTGCTGTTGGACAATGGTAAGAATGGTCCAAAATACAGATACTTCTGTGCACAGGAAAAATTAATGAAACAAAGCCTTTCGTGTCCGCCAGTCACTTCTTCAGATATTAAAGTGACGCTAAACTCAGGCGTTAAACCTTAAAAATGCTTTTTAAAAGGAAAACTATGAGGCGAGTGAAAATCACTCATCCTCATAGTTCGAGCCGACGTGTGACAATGAAACTGTCACACGTCGGCTTAATAGATCGGGAAGTGAGTGAACACATACCGTCGCTTGCTCACCTCCCAATAGTCTCCCTGCAGGGATTCCCCCCCCTCCCCTCTGACCCTCCAGCGCTGACTGGAGGAACGGACATGGGAGGGGGCGGGTACAGCTGACTCTGCCTCTAGATAGCGCAGCTGGGTGGATCTCAACAGCATTGTCGGGATCCGTCCTGGGTGCGGCCGTCTCAGTATACCGCGAGCTGTAGGTTGCGATATACTGAGCTTTGGGTCACGGGAGGATGCCAGTATATGTGACCCTAAAGAGAACTATGGGGAAAAACACTTGCCCCATAGTTCTCTTTTAAGTATCCTATTAACAAAATGCATCTTTTCTGTATCAATAAACAAGAAACAAAGTGCCCAGCACTAATCCCAGCAGTCCGATATTACAATGTTCTTTCAGGAAAAAGTGCATTCAGTGATCCAAATAGTATAAAGATTTTCTAGGCGATCATCACTCTCCCCATCCGTGATGCCACCAGTGACATAAACCGCACTCACCAGATCAGATAGACCATTTAAATGAAAGAAAAAAAAAAATGGTCTTGTCTCGCTCAAGCAATTAACAATTGATCATCATCCATCCATAGAGAATTTGCATCTCCAGGTTCCAACTGGTTTCTTCCTCCTCATATTCATCGATGGTCATAAAACATTAACCCCTTGATAACTGAGGCTTTTTTAATTTTTTGTTTACATGTTATAAGCCACATTTTAGGCCTGAAATTAGTTAAAAACCCCAAACATTATATATTTTCTGAAACCAAGGTCCTGTAGAATAAAATTTTGGCAGTTGCAAATTTTTATGTTGCATGATATTAGCGCAACTCCTTATCAAACACCAAAATGTAGTGAAAAATGCAATTAAAATGCCCCAAAACACACTAAAATACCCATTTTAATAAAACAAAAGATGAGGTTACAATGAGTAAATAGATACACAACATGCCCAGGTTAAAAATGAAGTGCATCCATCAAACTGTGACAAAATTCAGTACCCCCAAAAAGTTCATAGATGCTTTAAAAGCTCCCAAAGGGGCCTCAGTTTAGAGATACGCGTCAATATTGGCCCTGGAAGTATTGCTCTCACTCGTGTGTACGATCGTCGTTTTCATACGGGAATATTGTGCTGTTGGATTGTGCGGATTACCATTTAAATGGTCTACCCGATCTGGTGAGTGCGGTTTATATCACTGGTGGCAGCACGGATGTGGAGAGTGATGATCACCTAGAAAATCTGTATTAATCACTTTGGCTACAGAGCCTTCGTTTATACTTTTTGGATCACTGATTGCACTTTTTCCTGAAAGAACATTGTAATATTGGACTGTTGGGATTAGCCCGGGGCACTCTGTTACGAGTTTGTTTTATTGCTTTTCTTTTGCACAGCTGCTTAAAACATTAGGCAAGAAAGATTAAAGACATAACTTTTGTGCATCACTCGGCTGAAGATCCTCAAATAATTTCTGAATTCATGTAGACACTGCCCTTCCTTCTGGAGGATGGCTACTTTTGTTCCCCATGGTCCCTCTGTGTGTTGTAAAGTAGCCACCGCTCCAAGCTCGCTCCTGTGATGGACTATAATCTCAGTACAAATTGGCTGGCTAAATGTGAGATTGTAGTCCATCACAGGAGCGAGCTTGGAGCGGCGACTACTTTACAACACACAGGGACCATGGGAAACAAGCGTAACCACCCTCCTGAAGGAAGGACAGTGTCAGCACCAATTCAGAGATGATTTGAGGATCTACAGCCAAATGATACACAAATAAGATACATTTGTGGTAATAGTTAAAGGTACTTAAATGCATTTTTAATAATTAAGTTCGGAGTTTAGAGTCACTAAGTGTAACACAAAATCAGCAGCAAGAGTGTGTGATTGTTTTTTTTGTAAAGCAGGTGGAAAAGATAAGACTACAGAGATATAATATAATGCTATTTCAACTAGACAATCAAACTGTCAGAAAGTATATTAATACAAGCTATATTTACACAAAATCAGACTGCTATTTGAACCCATATGATATGCAATAGAACAGTCCTGCAGAGAAGGAAAGAGAGCAAAAGCACAAATTGCACTTGTAACAAACAGTTGAATGGACATGGCAATCTTATTCAAAATCGGTTTGCAAAATGAGAGCTGGTAGCCATGTGGAAACACACACACACCTCTGACTGCTTGGAGCAAAGCCACTTTGCAATAATCTGAACTAGAACCACGGTATAACTTTCAAAATGTGTCTCTGTTCCCACCTCTTTATGTAATTGTTACAAGTTAATCCGTTAAATGTTCATTTATAAATCCATTTAAATATCCATACATGGAGGTATGGGATTGCTTACATCTAAACAATCTGACCATTGGGTGGATAGATTCTGCTTTTTTAAACAAGGGCTTATGCCTCCCTTTCTTTAGTATGTTTCATATGACTTCCTTTCTCCCTACATGGCGCAAGTGCATATTTGTTCAGTCAGTACAGAGAAATGGGCATCAGCCACATGACTGCAGGTCATATTTTTGCTGTGACTGTTGTATCTAATATACAGTTTTGTATAAAACGAGGAAGATATACTAATACTGGTTGGTAATGGTGGATGCCAACAGCAAAATGTTGCTGTTGGCATCCACCATTGCGGTTAACACAGGGGCATGCTCTGGCTGGTTTACATTGCCTGCTGCGGCATTGCTTTGTCCTGGTCCACATCCCATAGCGAAGTTGCCTTGCAATGAATTATTGGGAAAACCTCTAACCCTCACCTTTTTCTTCCTGAGGAGGTATAGCACAGATCTTACATGGCCACCAAGGGCGTCGACTGAACTTTGCCCACACAATGTCCCCTTCTTCATAGACTACAGAAGCAGCTTTTTTCCTCCTCGGGTGTCGCTATAGGAAAAGAAACAAAATAAGATTACCACATACCTCCTCCTACACCTCAGTTATCCTCTAGAGTCAATTGCAGAATAGGTTACATGAGGACATTGCTTTGAACATGTACATTGTAGGCAAAAGTGATCACAGACAGCTGCCACTGCTATTTACATCTCCACAGCTCAGTCGGGGCTTCACACAACACAAAGCGACAATTAAAAAGAGAAAAAAACAAGCTTAAAATGGGCTTACAGGTGCAGTCCAGTGCGTTCCTATGCTTTCCAGCGCATTCCGGACCAGAGAAAATGTGACGAGCAGTATTTTTTGTCTTGACTGGAACGGACTACGCTGGTTGGTATTAGCAGAGCTCAGAAATACCATAGGGATACATTGGGATGCTTTTTTGGTCCGGAATCAAACTGTTCTGGTCTGGACATGATGTGAACAAGCCCCTTAAAAAGAGAAGTATGGGGTTAGGGCTTTTCCCCATAGTTCTCCTTAGGGTTTGTAGTGTATACATAGTTCTCCACACCTTTGTAGTGTGTACACACCCAGCAGGTGTGTTGTGCAAAGCCCTGCATGAATTACAAGGTTATGTTGTTTAAATTAGCTCTACATTGTGTTGCTTGCGTTGATGAATGCAGGAATGTAAATGCATGAGCTAACCATTTTTGTCTAAACTGTGAAGCAACATTATATATGTGCATGATTTTTCCATATATGGCATTAGTGGAAATATGCTTTTAGAGACTTTTTGGTTGATAAATAAGTTTTGCTGTGTAAAAATCACACGCACCTAGTGCGTGCGTGTTTAGGTTAGTAAATCACCCCCATGGTGTCTGTGTGCAGGTTCACAACCTGAGCCAGCACTAGAGGAAAAGGCACCCAGCTTCAAAGGGAAGTTCTCCCCAAGCAGGAGAACAGATACAGATTTAAAAGGAAGAGCAGCAAAGAGAAGGGAAACAACCATGGATTACAGTAAGGTACACATTACACTATTGTTTTATGTTAAAAAATCTGAGGGTTTAATGTCACTTTAAGGCTCAATCACACTATATGCAGTGACTGACATTTTTCAGTAACTCAAACACTTGTCACCGCTCAGGCAGAATACAACGGTTTTCTATGTGCCTTGTTGACACATCTATGCACGTGTGATACACTACAAAAAGATGCATTTTTCTTTTTACAGTGCACTGGACTGCAAGGCAGGTCACCACACAACGCTGCTGTGGGGGACCAGAATTGAATAGAACATTTTTGGCTTGTAGTGATGGGCCAATATGAATGTGTGAGGCAAGCTCTAACAATACCTGTGAGGGTGCCCATACACTATTCAAACTTCTTGAGGAACTGGCCGAAATTTGCACAGTGGGTGCCGCTGTCAGCACCCTTTCAGCGAACATCCCTCGATCAGCTGACCAGATGAGCTGCCGGCTTAAAGGAGAACTATGAGGTTAGGGCTTTTCCCCATAGTTCTCCTTAGGGTAACGGGAGGACACAAACCATCGTCCTCCCGTCACCCTAAGCTCAGTATACCACGAGCTACAGTTCGCGGTATACTGAGACGCCGCAGCCGGAGCGGATCCCGACATCGATGTCGAGATCCGCCCAGCTGCGTGAGTGACAGCTGACTCTCCCCTTTTAGAGGCAGAGCCAGCTGTACCCGCCCCCTCCATTCCGCCAGTCAGCGCTGGCGGATCGGAGCGGGGAGGGGGAATCCATCCCCTCCCCTGTCACGGCAGAGAGCTGTGACAGGCTCGAGATGTGAGCGAACGCCGGTATGTGTTCGCTCACCTCCCGATCTACTGAGCCGACCTGTGACAGTCTCATTGTCACAGGTCGGCTAGAACTAGGAGGTGAGTGAAAAGCACTCACCTCATAGTTCTCCTTTAAGTGTCGGGGTTTTGCCAGTAAGAATGGCCTCACACTCCTTATGCAACAACCTATCATTAGGATGTGAATGAGAAGTTCAAAATAAAAATGTTAATGAGGTTCTAACCCTTCCTCACAATTTTAAGAAAACCTGTACTGAAAAACACAGGGGACTACCATTGCTAACCTCCTCTGGCACTTAATATAATTATTCACAACTTAAAGTGTATAAATCACTAAAACTGATTTTTTTTTTGACATTTTGGATTGAGTAAGGAAGATATATAAATTAATTCAT